TCTATTATAATTATCATATCTCATTCAGCCAGAGTACAAAAAGAGAAAAAAAGATTGTGTGTGTTTGTGTGTGTGTGTGTGTGTGTGTGTGTGCGCTCACATGCACGTGCGCATGCATGTGTATGTGATTGTATATTTCCAATTCCCAGAGCTGTCATGACAGGAACATTTCAGAACCATCTCAAGAGAATAATGTATTAGTAAAGTAGGAAAGTTCACTTACTTTCGTATCTACCAAGAACAGAAAAAGATCCATACCCTGGTACTGCCATCAAAGTCTAAGGCTTTGTGTTTTTGGTTTGGTTTTGTTTTTGCAAATCTGGAGAAGAGGGAAGACCCATATTACAGAATACAGAACATTACTGGCAAATACTTAAAGACCAGGAAAAAAAATTATCTTGTCCTCATCAGCCAAAAATAGAGGATGATGAGACAAAAATCATACATACATAACAAACATCCCACAAAAAAACAAAACAAAACAAAACAAACGAAAAAAACCCACCCACAGGTATTTAACAGTATAAACTTTGTAAGCAGGCAAAATAATAAAAAATATGTATGGGCTCATAAGCTTAATGTATTAAACACAAGAAGGCATTTAGAAGTGCAGGATTAGGGGTGCCTGGGTGGCTCAGTGGGTTAAGCTTCTGCCTTCAGCTCAGGTCATGATCTCAGGGTCCTGGGATTGAGCCCCACATCGGGCACTCTGCTCAGCGGGGAGCCTGTTTCTCCCTCTCTCTCTGCCTGCCTCTCTGCCTACTTGTGATCTCTGTCTGTCAAATAAATAAATAAAGTCTTTAAAAAAAAAGAAAAGAAATGCAGGGTTACTCAAAGAAGACTGAGATGCTAGATACAAGTCATTAAAGAAGATCCCCAGAAAGTTTGAGAACAATAGTAGCAAGAAACGGGGATCTGAAGGCCTAAAGAGCAACTAACTAAACAGGAAAAACAACAAAGCCCTTTAGAGAAAGGTTATTAGCAGAATACCTTTTAAAAGGAATTTATGACAGTTGGGCTCCCAGCTGACTCAGTCAGCAGAGCCTGTGACTCCTGATCTCGGGGTTTTGAGTTTGAGCCCCACGTTGGGTATAAAGATTACTTAAATAAAAAAATACATATATTGTTTTTAAAAAGAGAGAAAACTCATGACATATGGGATCCCATAAATATAAGCTGATGTGCAGAACATGTGGGTACTTGGCCACTCTCAGTCAGAATACAAAAATGAGAAAGCTCACCCCAGACACTGCAGACATAACACGAAGGTAAGAAATGGCATCGAACACTTCCAGGTGGCAGTGGTTCCATCACTCCTGGACTTAAAAAGCTCAAGGAATGGGGGGTAGGAGGATAAAAGTAATTCAAACACAAAGCCTAACAACTAACAGGTAGCTGTGAAGCCGGGATCTGTGCCTGAATAGGTAGGTTTTTATCGCTACGGCTTAACCATTATTCCCAACATTGCAGAGAACCTACTAGGTGGTAGGTATCCTGTCTGTGTCCCTGGGAGCAAAGGAGTGAGTCAGGCAGCCCCTGCCTCCACAAACTCCAAGCCTACCTGTCTCCAAGGACATAGGCTCATTTACAAGGAAGTGCGTTGGAAGGCACATTGTGATAAGAATTCTACGAGGTGGGTGAAGAGGTTGTGGCACAGTGAAAAAGAGGTCTCACTAGAATATAGTCCCAGGTCCTGTGTAACTCTGGACTCAGACACAGGGGACCCGAGTTCAGCCCTGAGCAGGCCATGCATCTCTGAGCAAACAACTTCTACCCTGTGCCCTGCACTTCTCACATTTCCACCAGAAAAGGAGAGACTGTATGCTTTCTATTAATTCTAACTTGCTGTCTTTGCAGTTAAGCTTCTTAGACATCAGGCTCTGAACTAAGCTGTGAATGAAAAGACTCTAGGGACGAGAAACTAAGGGAGAGTATGTACTAAAGGCAAAGAGCAGGTGAGCTGGGCACAAGACCCCAGCATCTTCAGTTCACCCTGTGCGTAAAAACTGTGTTACCTACCGTCTGGGGATTTCACTAAGGGTTCAGAGCATTCTAAATGGACCTCAGGGAGGTGGGGGTAAGGAAAAGGAAAACAGATATGAACTTTAAAAATGTATAAAAATATAAACAAAAAATAACATAAATCTTAAGTGTTTAGAGTAACAGAAAATGCACTAACACTTAAATTAAATAGAGAGTAAAGCAAATCTCACACTTCCAACCAATATCATGTCATAATACAGAGCAGATGAAGAGATGCAGCTTCATTTAAAAACAAAGTCTGAATATCCATGAACCTTTCCCCATATTTATCTTTAAAATGTATATATGCAAGGGAAATTTCTTCTTTCACGTATTCAAAAAAGGTTATATTAAAAAAAGAGAGAGATTGGCAGAATTGCAAGAAAGAATCAAGACTTCAGAAATTAAATGAGACTGAGTTGCTTCAAATGAGGATGCCATATTCCAAACTGTTTATTGCAAGAGAAGAATTACTGAGCAGAGCACTCACCCATCCAGCCATCCGCCATCCATCCAAATATATACATACAGAAGAACATACAGACATACATTTGACCATACACAATCATTCCTACTAAAAACACAGTAGCATAATAGGAGCCAAGAGGAACATAAGGACGAGTGAGAAACCATGTCTTGTTGCTTAAATGGGGAAACAAAGCTTACATTCTTACAAGGAAGTATCGCCATCACACGGGGCCTGGGAGCCAGAACTGCGAGGAAGAGAAGGGCAAGCAGGAGAGCACCTGGGTGAGGACAACAGACTTGCTTCAGAAACGTAGGAGCCACAAAACCATAGAGAAGGTCACCTCTCCTCTCTCAACTCCCATTTCCCATTTCCCATGTGAGAAAAACACTTACCTCATAGGGTTGTATGAGAAAGCAGAGCGTTTTGCAGAGACCACACGTTGAACGGTGACAGAGCAAGAGGAATGACCAAAAAACATAACTGTGAGACTCAAGGAATATGATGTATATGGAAACCCAGAGAAGGGAACGATAAACTCTGATCTAGGCCATGTCTGGCCATTTTGGAGAGGGCAACACCCGTAGGATGTTGACAGGTAACAAAAAGGGTCAGGGTGGGATGTTGTGAAAGAGCAAATGGTTGTGAGGGGCAGAGGTCTGAAGAGGTGGCCAGTGTCCCCAGAGAAGTAGAGAGGCAGTAAGCGAACCTCACAGAGCACAGTGAAGCGAGCAGAGCATCTCAAGAGCAAGAGTCACCCGAGGCGCCACACCATTCAACTCACAGCATTCAGAATGCAGGGGTCTGAAGGGAGATGGCTGCTTGCTCCTCCTCCCTCAAATATGCCATGTATTAGCCTACTTCATATAGGACCTGCCCCCCCACCCCTGAGGTAGGTAGAGGCTGTCAAACAATGAAGCCTTCCTCACGCGCTTACTTCCTACTCCTTATTCTTTTCATATGAGAGGGAAGTCCATTTCAGATTTCCAAAAAAAAATTAGGGGACAAAGTAAAAAGGAAGCAAATAAGGGAAAATGTTGAGAAAACATATATATATACGGCCCTTCCTGTCCTAGTGAGGAGGTGTTCTCTTCCAGATCCTAGCCCCAGTCTGGCAACCACTAAAGCACCACCACTAAAGAAAAAAGAAAATCAGTTCCCCTAAATCTTAGATTGACTGTGGAGAGGCAGTCTCCTTCAAGACCGATAAAACTCAAGACACTGCCATGGAGATTAGTAGAGCACCCAGAGTGTCACTTCCTGTTTTTTCCAGAGTGGCTCTCTGATGGTCTCGTTGCTGCCCTCTCTGGAAAAAGGATACCCAAAGATCCACGGCCCTAGCTCAAGAGTGTGCATTGATGCCTGACTTCCCGACCACCTCCCTAAGCGTCCAGCCCCCCTCACACAAGCTGGATATCTGGAAGAGGCTTCTAACTCCCGAAGTCACTCGATTCTAATGATAACACCAAAGGACGAGTGATGTATTTGCTGGGGGAAGGGAGAGGACTGGGAGGAAAAGAGAAAGACCGAACTATGCCACAGAGTGTAAAACAGTATCACAAAAACTTGCCAGAAGAAACACACGCATGTCACCCAAGAAGCAATAAGGAACATCACAGCGAGGGGACTGTAAGGTCATTTTTTTGAAGTGGGGGTGGGGTAAGAGAGAAAACACAAAAAGAGGGTGCTGAATCTCCTTTCACTCTCAGCTCTCCACTCCCAGAAGTTCACCATTCCTCTGTTGTCAGTTACAAGTCATTGTTTCATGGATTGGGCTGAGCTGCTGACGCTGATCTGTAAAAATACAGAAGCTCTTCAACCCAACAGTATGGCACTCTTCGTGCTGCCTCTGACATTCGGTGCCGGAAGGAGCACCCCCTGACATGCTGAGCTCCCATGGCTCGTCCAACTCCTGCTTGATGAAAATTGAGCATACTGCCGTCACCACCCCTGGAACTAGGCTACGCTCACATTCAGCAAATGCAGATCTCACTGAGCTCTCCAGACAACTTTATCCTACAGCAGCCTAGGGGAGTCTTAACAGTTTTAGCCTTAACAATTCCAGGTGCCTTGTGAGGTTCACTCCTTAAGGGTTTCCCGTCAGACCACTTCTTGGCAGCATGTGGAGACATGTGTCCAACAGCCAGGCGGAGATGCAACCAGGTGACAGACACCTCTCTCTAGGACAAGGGATGGAGCGGAAGGTAAACGCAGTAGAAGGGCACTGAGCTATGAATGAAAAGATCAGGGTTCTAGTTATGGCTCTGGCCCTAACTCACTGTATAACCACAGCCATATAACCCCTAAGAGGTCTCACTCTCTTTATCCCTAAAAGAAAGGCTGGCCTTGATAGCTTCTAGATAGTTTTCAACCTTTGACAGTCTAGTAACTATGATAAGCACACTGAATTCCTGAGTTACCTTTTCTGACACAGCATAGTGCAGATAGATGACTTTTCTCACACTGAACTCTCCCACACTCTGGGCACCCGACTCTGAAGCCCTCCACTTACCTTCACCTCCAGAGTGCTTGTACGGGTTGTATTTCGGCTTTGGAGCAACTACCGGTGCAAACTTCTTGGGTGGTTGTTGTGTGGACACTGAAATGCTGGGGGTCCCAAAGGAATGGGTGGTCTCCATCCGCGCAGGCACATGGCCGAGGGGCTCACCAGTGCTTTTGGGTGGCAGCCAAGATGGGTGAGACATTGTTGGAATCTGGAACTAAAGAGAAATAAATAGAGTTGGTTTACGGAAGCCTGAAAATGCAGGCAACCTACTGCACTTCAACATTATATCCTCTGAATTCGTACTTGATGAAATCTTGACAGAGCTCTCTGAGGAGGAGGAAAGAGAAAGAGAAATGGTGAATGAGGGGAGGAGGAGGAGAATGAAACACTGACTTTCACTGGGGGAGAAGAAAATGGCACATTCCCCTCAGCCAATCTTGAACACGTCTTCTGACAGTTACCTATTTAATGTCTAACTCTCGTCAGGAAATAGATATGGTAAGAGATGCTCCTTAACCTGAAGAAGTTTCTACGGTAGGAGAGTCTGATACCAGCCAGGTTGGAAGAAAGTGTAAGTTTTATTAATAACCTATTGAAATGAATACCACATCAATTAAGTCGTGATTAAGTTCCCTAAATGAGGTGATATTGCCTACGTGAGATAAAAATAAGTAAAAAGTTTCTGGGGTGCAGAACACAGTAAGATTACTTCTGGCAACAGAGCAGAACAAAGACCTCATTAATGAGCTGCCCCTCAGACTGGACCCTGAGTGCTGAGCAGGGGCTGGCCTGAACCATGTCAGCATAGGCCAGAAAGTACACAGCACTCGTGTTTGGTGTGACTGGAGGCGGACGAGGGAAAAGCAGCTAGTAAGCAACTAAAACATGGGATGGAACCAAAGTACAGACAGGGACACCTCAATTTACTGGGTCAACATCAAAGAAGCACCAACAGTTTATTCTCGAAACAAAGGCATAACCAGCGTGTCTCAGCATACTTAAAAATGATTCTTCTCGTGGGAACGGTTATGCTCCCCACCAAGGGGCATTTGCAATCTGGGGGGAGGGGAACCCTGGAGGCCACAGAGCCTGGGCCCCTACTGGCACTTAATAGCCAAGGGCTAGGAATATTCTAACCCATAATGAACAGGCCGGCCGCACGGGACAACCATCAGGAGCCTTGCTGAGTGAGTCTCAGAGGGAACATCTGTGAAAAACATAACCAGGAGCAGGCAAAGCAGCCCAGCCAAAGTGCTATTCTGATCAGATTACAATACAGCGTGTGAGGAAAGAGAAATGATGTCTTGCCTGTCAGGGTGAGCCAGTCACCCCTCCAGGCAGCCTGCAGGCTGGGGCTGAGCCTCCCAGACTGCTTGCTGTCGAGGAGGGCTCTCCAAGTCTGATTGCAACAGCTCTCCAGCACAGGGAGGCCCGGAAGGCACCCTGCGCCGGCTCCCAGCCCCAAATCCACCCCGTAATTTATTAATTGAACTGAATTAATTGAGAGGTCTGCATGATTACCTCCAGATGTCTGTAAAGACAAAGAACACTGGAAATGCAAGAAAAAACAAAGGCCTTAGCACGCAGCAGGGTCACAGAGATGCGGGGTGACAGAGAGGGACGGGGCACCATGGAGGCGAAGGTGGCCTCAGAGGAAGTGGTGTGACCTTGAACAGTCCCCTCCCCGCATCAGGGCCTCGGGGACCTCAACTCCCTCGAAATTAAGATAAAGCCCTGTTCTCCTTAACTTGTGAGTTTTCAGACAATCGATGAGATAACACCTGTGAAGGGTTTTAGAAAGAAAAGTGTTGGAAGTGCAGTATTTGCAGTAAAAGAGGATAACAGGGATGGAAGAGGAAGGCTCTCAACTAGGAATCTGGAAGCTTCTAGCAGCGAACCCAGGGTGACAGGCTTTCGCCTGGTTGCACGGCCCTGCTCTTCCTCTTCCTCCCTTGTCCCGTCTACACAGGCTACACATAGACACTTGCTACACTGTGAGTTCCTTGAAAGGGCAAGAACCAGATCTAACATACTTCTAAAACCACCATGAAGGCTCAGCACAAAACCAATAGAGAAAAACAGCCACGAATCTGGTTTACTCATGGCTCTTCACCCTGGTTGCGCATTCACAATCATCTGAGATTAAAAAAACGAAAAGAAAAAAAAATCCCATCTCTTAGGATTGAGAAATGCTAAACTTAGTTTTGTATAAGTATTTTTCTTTAATTGAGTCTCAGTCTTCTACTGAAAGGGGATGAAAGTGTCTGTTCTGCTTTCAACATGACTAAAGTGAGCATAGGTCAGAACCAAGGAGCACAGAATAAAGATATGAAAACTTTAATGCACTCTGCACATGTGTAGCATAAATGTTATTTGTACATTATAAAAACGGGTTAATATCACCCTTGCAACTTTTCCATAAACCTAAAGTAATTCCAAAATAGAAACTTAAAAAAATGGGTTAATATAGGATTCAGCGATTTCTAAAGCAAAAAGGCACATTTCCAGATCAATCCCACATTGCCAATTCACTGTAGAATCCTGGCTTTTTCAGATAAGCCATAGATATAAAAGAACAGACAACTTCTGGGAAAGTATAAAAAATGAAAATTTAAGCATCAATATGCAACTAATTGACTCCATCATCTTTAGAGTTATCCCCAATACCTCATATTACCCTGATGCTGCCTTCCCCATGAACACACCTCCAGCTCCACCTCCTGACAGTACCAGAGTCTGGTCATCCACCTGTTTAGAGATGACCTCAAATGCAGCCCCCTCATACCATTCTTCTGTATGTCCACAGTGGTCCAGTGACACCATTCATAGGATTTGTAATGAATCTTCCTGACCCTGCACTCTTGCTCATGCTGTGTCTACCATCTACATTGCCATTTCAGTCCCCTCACTCTCTACCAAGCCCAATTTTTTTTTATCTTGACCCAGCTCAAATGTCTCTGATGCTGTGAATATTTCCCTCACATCCCTCCCACAAAAAAAGAGTAGCTTAATTCCAGGTTCCTCTAGTACTTGGACCATACTTAAAACAATCCACATGGACTGACCCAGGAAGCTGGAAGCTTCTGAACAGTCTCACGAAACGAGCACAGTGTCTGGCTAGGAAGCCTCTAGAAAGCTATGTTATGGGCAAAGGAGTAAGTGGATGAATGCCCATCTCTTTGGTTACTCCTCTCTCTTTAGAATCTCTGTATCTCCCTTCTTAGCCTCCACTGATACGGTCATCTCTTTTTCTCTCAATTTAGCAATGTGAAGAATCCTGCTAAGTTCCAGATATTGAACCATCTCTGCATTCCTAGAAAAAATCCTACTTAGTCACAGTTGCAATGTTTTGATATATTGATGAATTAAATATGCTTTTTTTTAAGATTTTTATTTATTTATTTGACAGAGAGAGATCACAAGTAGACGGAGAGGCAGGCAGAGAGAGAGAGAGGGAAGCAGGCTCCCCGCTGAGCAGAGAGCCCGACGCGGGACTCGATCCCAGGACCCTGAGATCATGACCTGAGCCGAAGGCAGCGGCTTAACCCACTGAGCCACCCAGGCGCCCCTTAAATATGCTTTTTTATAGAGAATTTTTGTACATAGAATCATGAGTAAGATCATTCTATAGTGTTGTTTCTCTACTTGTGTTAGTTCTCATCATTAGGTTTCATATGAGGGTTCTACATCCTTTTCTACTGTTCGGATTTGTTTAATAATGATGAGGTTGGAATTATCTGATCTTTAAAAGTTTATCAGAACTTACTGTAAAGTCATTTGGATATGATACTTTAATAATCAATCTTAATCCTATTTCCAGTAATTTCTATGGTAGTTGAAACCATTTTATGCTTCTTTTGAGGTCATTTTCATACTCTGCTGGAAATTCATCCATTTCTTCTAGGTTTGATCTCCCTCCGTTTCGATTTCACTAGCTCTCAATTAAAATGATGTCTCCTCTACTACGCATCATTTAGATCCCGAGCATCACTACTCACTGGTCCTTAAAGACATCATTCATGTTTTCTATCATCCAGATCAAGTTATATGCCCTTTCACTGCATGTCCACAACACCCAGAGTGCTGTACTCATCACACATCTCTGTCTCTCCGCTTGCCTGTGACCCAAACTAAACTCTTGGATCCTGAAGAGCAGAAGTAATTATCACTCTCAACTCCTAGGGCCTGATATGTAATAGATACTCACTAAAAATGTCTGTTAATTTAATGAATGAATAACTGTATTTGCCTGACACTAGGGCTCCAGATGAATCAGATTTTCATCCTGTACTGAGATGAATCAGATTCTCATCCCATATTCAAGAAGCTTAAGGCCTACCTACAGAAGAGATATTTATATATGTGAAAAGAGAAAGAGAGCAATACAGAGCATACAAAAAGAAATGGGGTATGTGTGATGGGAGCTAGCATAGGGAGGGTGGCCCTTGACAAGGATTTTGAAAGCTGGCTGGTTCTGAAGATAAATGGAACAACAAAGAGAATGCCTGGAAATGCTGTAAGCTCAAGGAAGAAACGAGGTCTTCCCATGAAGCAGACCAGTTGTATTAAAATGAGGAATTCAAGGAGAATATTTGGGGAAAAGGTTCAGAAGATAAATTGACCTTGTTTTTTAAAGGTTTTATACAGAGAAATAAAAAGCTAGAACTTTAATCTCTATACAATCATCTAACAAGAATAAAAACTCTATGTACGAAACATGAACTAGTTCAGGATGGATCCAAGGAAGGTGATAAACACAATGGCATAGACATACAGCTTCCACATCCCCAGTTCCCTAGTCTCAACTTTGCCAGGGTGACCTTTAACAAGAGAGGATACTCATTTGCAAAATGAATGTCTGTAAAGTCCCAATGCGCTCTAATATTCTATACTGCTTTCCTTCTCTGAACCCCAAATTACAGCCCTTTATTTTGATAATGGGTGAGGAAACCTCACAAGTTTAGTGAACACATGAACTAGCACATGTCAGTCGGGGTTTCTCAGCTTCTCTAAGGACGACCAACATAAACACGAAGATAAGCAGTGGTGAGAGCTGGTTTTGCTGGACCAAAACTCAACCCTGCGCTTACTTCCTCTAGTTCTAGGTCAGTTTCACTGTAAGCTCACAATCATTGCGAAAGCAAGAAGTGAAAGGGAAGATCTCCACAGAGGCTGTGAAAATACGCAAACACCATCAAAAGAGAGGCAAACAAG